TGAGATAACAGAAGACAGCTCGACACGAATCCATGGAAGTTTGGGATTCAAATATTTAATATCTGAGTTAATTTAGCAAATTTTTATTGCAATGTAGTTTTTCTTTAAGTATATCATAACTTTTATTTTTACGGAATGGATATAGTGTGAAAATTACATTAAGTTAAAAAATCAAATGAAATGGACCAATTATGGGTAATGATACTAAAGACAAGAAATTTAAGCAAAGACAATAACAAGGCTCTTTGGCAGTGAAGAAATTATAACAAAATACTGGTATCAGAAAACGAGAAAACCGCACCTTTTGTAGGTATGGCCAAAGTGACGGCATTGTGCTTGTGTACTCTGAAAAGAGCAAAACTCAACAAAGTAAACGAAAAGAGCCATTGAAGATCTAATTTGATATTGCTTGTATATAGGGAAACTCTTTTTAAAATATGGAATATTAGAAAAAGGGAAACTATAATCTTATTCTGTTTTGTATTTAGTGAAACAGTTCTAAAATATGATACTTTTGAAATAGAGAAACTAAAATCTAATACTCCTTGGTATATAGGGAAACAGTTCTAGAAATATGATATATTAAAAATAGGGAAAATATCATCTTATTCTGTTTTGTATATAGGGAAACAGTTCTAAAATAAGACACTTTTGAAATAGAAAAACTATAATCTAATACTCCTTGGTATATAAGGAAAATGTTCTAGAAATATTATATATTAAAAATAGAGAAACTATAATCTAATACTAATTTGTGTATAGGGAAAATCTTTTAAAAATGTGATACTTTTGAAATAGGAAAACTATAATTTAATACTCTTTTGTATATAGGAAACAGGTCTAGAAATATGATATATTAAAAATAGGGAAAATATAACCTTATTCTGTTTTGTATATAAAGAGACAGTTTCAAAAATATGATATATTAGAAGTAGGGAAACTATAATCTATAAGCTTCGGCTTATCTTCATACATCATCGCATCAATTTCTCTGTTCGCATTCATATCCATCCAAGTAATTTTTACCGAAAATTACTTTCACAATATTAGTTTCATAAAAATATCACTCTGTTTTCTTACCTATTGAACTGGAAAAGGAAACCAAATAAATAATGTATATTGCCTTCCATTTTGCTTTGTAGGTTTCCAACGACACCAAATCATCGATGCCATGTGTTCCAAAATTCTGGCACCTTTTGGACGAACTGATCAGGAAGATTGAAAAAATTATTTAATGAAGATAAGTGAGTTCTGTCTAGATAATACATCGGAAGTTTTGTTTGCAAAATTTTGCTTTTGATTTTTCATAGCAAAAAATGCATTTAATTATAAGGTATGCATAGTTGTACACATTGTAATGATGAAAAATCATTTAATCAAGTTTGTGTCAGCTCTTTCTGGTTTTCCTGTTTTAGGGCTTGATACAATTAGTTATAACAACCATTGTAAATAATTATTTTAATTTTTTAATACTAAAATGATTTTTTTAGACATGGTCGCTTAAGCAACGAACACGTGTTGCAGTATCTCTGGAAAAACTTTAGGTTTTGCTTTGAAATCAATCCTATACAGGATGAACCGTAGAATATACGAATTGCAGGATCTACCTGAGAGTGAATTAACCAGACTGTCAGTGAAAGAACTGGTGACGACTACGTGAAGCAAACATATACCTGGAGAGCGGTCTGCATGATTTACAGCAATACTCAAGAAGGAACAACCTCGAACTATCTGGGTTCGCAGAATGTAGGGACAGCGAAGAAGAGGAAACCAAACTACAGGAATTTTTTCAAGACCTGGGAGTAACTATCCACACCGGAAACATCGAGGCTGGCCACCGGATACCGACCAAACGAAAGGATATGAAGAAACCGTTGATTGTAAGATTCGTTAACCGACGCAAGCGTGATGAAGTTTTCGCAGTAAGGAAGCAGATCAAGGGAAGAAAGATCTTTGTTAACGAGCCCCTTTCACCGCACAATCGTTGGCTATACACCCTGGCCCTTGAAGTTGAAAGGAAAAGCGGCTATAGATTCTTGTGGACTATTAATGGTACACCATGTTTGCGGAAAAGTGAAAATAGTCCGGTTATTAAAGTGTCTTGTCCTACAGTCTTGGGTGGTTTGTAAGATCTAATATTCCACACCTTCTAACATAAAAGTGTAACCATAGTGTTTTTTCAAGGAATTTGTGGTATCATTTGCACATTCATTTTCCAAAGAGCGCTGCAACTCTTTAACTCTTTAATTACTAATAAAATTTGCATACCATTCAACCTTGTTTAAATAATTGACGTGTCAAATGCCATAAACCAACGAGAAAAAACCTAACACTGCTGCCAAGGAAAGATGCTGTCGTTGCAATAGACGTGTACACGTTCGGAAAATTGAATGTAGTAATTGTAAACTCTCTTCCCGTATAAAATGCGCTCAAATCTCAATAGAGGCCTATGCACGCTTATGCTCGGAAAACAAGAATGGATCTGCAGGAAGTGCATGTGTAAACGAATGCCGTTTTTTAGTGTTGTTGACAGAGACCTTGACTATAACTTTGATCTCACGTTCACAAAGTGTCTTGAAAGCCTCCAATTTAACCAATCTGTAACCATCGACTCCTTATTGGACAAAATTCCTGGTCACAAATTCTCAACAGATAATTTTATTGACGATATGATCACCTCGAAATACTACACTCCCCATGAATTTAAGCAGGCTCGACTGGGCTAAGCTCTCTTCGCTATACTGGCACTAAAGCCCTTAATGCATTAAAAAACGATCCTCTCTTTACAAATATGACAAATAAAAAACACCTTAAGCGTATATTTTCCAATAAGGCTTTTGATTCTTATTAAACAACCATATGTCCCCAAACTATCCTTCAGCGTTTCTGACAGCAGCTCTTTCTTCCTTTGTAGCAGTTACATTTAAGAACTGGTAACCTCAGTTGGTATGTCTGGATTTGCCCGATCGGCCGGGTAGGGGTCTATGAATTAGCTCTGCTATAAGATTCCTTCCCAACCATTTGGTCCTTTCTTAAAATTTTCAATTTTATCAATTTAATGATTTGGTATCATAGATTATGGTAAACCTAGTCCAATTCATGTACTCGTTTCTTTATTCTTTATTAATCATAACTTAAATTGTAATTCTTGTTGGTTGGAATGAAAGCTCTTATGTCTTATGTCTTAAGTTTTATGTCTTATGTAAATGAATCATTGAATTAAGGATAAAAACATGGCAAATAGACTTATATGCATTCATCCATTAAGCATAATCATAAACATACATTATAAAAATATGTTTTTTATTTAGAAAAAGATTATCACTATTTGGCTTCACCTTTCTGTCTCGTTCACTAAATTTTTCTTCTTAGCATCGAGAAGATTTTCCGCCATCTGAGCTAATTGATCGTTGTAGCTTCAAAATTCTGTGAATAAAGATAGCACTACTCTATTTATTGAAAAAAAAGCATTAAAGGAGAACTGACACGCAAAAATAACTTTGGCTTATTCGATGCAAAATTTGTCGCTGTCTTCAAATCTGGAAAAAGTTTTCTTCTAAGATTCGCCGTTTTTCTAATATTTGCATTTTATCCGTCAATTACGTCACAGCCAGGATTCGGGAATTTCCCGAAGCGGAAACAAGATTATCGCCAGGAGTTGTTAAAATTCTCGGTTGACGTCACAAGTGACATGTTAATAATGCCGTTGTAAAGGCTTTGACCGCAACGGTGAAAGTACAAATGAAATTTCGTATGTTATTGAAAATAGTGTGCGATAAACAGACAAAAAATTGTCAGGCATTTCATTTATAAGTATAAAGAAGCTAGAAAATCCTAGCTACTTGTCTGATAAGACGCTAATATCCACATAAAATTTATTTTTATGCCATGATATTTTCGAAGCAGCATGCTTCGAAACATTGAAAGAACCTCAAAGCTTGTGAAAAAAGGAGTCGACTTTGTTTGAAAACTGATACAGTTTCTTTACAGTTTTTATTTTTACAATTACAAATAAAACCGCAACATGGGGGTGGGGTTGAACCAATAGCCAAAAGACAAACGAAATCTAGTGGAGACAGCGGTAAAAGCGATCCTGCAACCTGCTTTGGGTGCAGAAATATGAATTCAAGAAAAAACCTTGGTTGATGGGAGCTGCGAGTGTGACTAAATAATAATTTCACTGAACTTGATTGTTGTATTTTAACAGAGGTTGAGATACTAGGGAATAACCTAGTCTTGCAAAAAGACCATCCCCCACCCAAGTCAAAATTGCTTGCAAAAGAAGAGAATGTGCCAGTTGATATTCCTATGACAGCTAAACAGCATTTTCTTCGACTAAGAAATCAAGTTCTTTCACTAAGAGGTAAGATCGTAAGTCCGTAAATCCAGATTTTTCGACTGCCAGGTAACTTATCAGTTCCCGAAACCTTCACTCCGTTGAAAATGGCATATAATCCGCACAAGTCGACTTTTAACCCGACTTTACTATTTAATATCACTATACAGTTAACTCGTTTAAAACATTGAAAAACAATCATAGAATGCTACATTAATAGTGAATAACTTGCAGTTCCGTTTAGGGCATCATAGGCATCTCAGCGAATTAGGCCATACAGACAAAGCATTACGATACCTGATCTCATTTAGATTGTAGCAATAGCATTGTTTTTAACAGAAATTCCATATCAGTTTGTACTTCCAGTCTGTTCTTTAATCATAACATCATCACTGTTGAGCCATGGGACGACTGTCTTCCCAAGCGGCAGCGCTGGCTGGTAGCAAAAACTCAGACGACGGCTGAAACTCTCCATTTGACTCGAAATCAGTGTAATAAAACTCCGATTCAGAGTCCCAAACCATTGAAAAAGTCAATTATGTGTCATAAATGCAAAATTAGCTCCTTTCACATGCACAAAATAAACATTTGTCCGCTGCATTTTGTTAAAGGTTTCTATAGAGAAACACAATACGTGTTGAAAACATGTCACTTGTGACGTCAAATATGATCGCCCACTCGTGACGATTTTCGCCTCGAGTCTCGAGATGTCGGAACAATTGTCGTTTCTCAACTTAAAACGCCTGTATTTCAAAAACGGTTACTGTGATTTAAAAAAATTTTTCGATCCCGGAATTTGCTTGTCACAAACTACCGTTTTAGCCAACCTTTTTTGCGTGTCAGTTCTCCTTTAAGAAATCAACTTTCCATACAATCAATTACAGAATTTTTTTAGGCAATAGTGGAAAGAAATGTACCATATCTTTCTCCAAGTAACTGTGCTTTGTAATCCCTTAAATTACCCCTAGCCTCAGCTTGGTTCCTATGTCTTTACCATAGAAGACATATATGAAATATAATATGGGAATTTAATCCGAGAAATCGGTCATTGTCCAAGTTGTACAAGGAATAACAGATTGGCTTAGAAAATAGGTTGAGAAACCTGATATAGAATAACTTGGTGCCAGCGCAAATTGATATAGTTTTATTTTTTTCAATTGCCTTAAACTTGGCTCACAAGGTGTATTTGTTAACAGTAAAGCTCTCAGAAACATTACAAAAAGAGAAAAATAACTGTTGAAGAGAAAGAAACTGATGAAAAAATTTTTTTGAGGACATGAGAAAGAAAGAATGGTCAGATTTGTTCTATAAAAGTAACATCAAGAATACTTTGGTTGTATTGATGATCAATTCCTACTAATAAAGATCTAGATACAATCATAGAATCTATTAAAACTTCTTTGACAAGCCCAGTTTGAAAAGTTTAAAATCTAGATTTTTGGTAAAGCACCTTATTTTCCAAAATGTTTAAGATCAGATGTTACAAAACAATATTCCATGTGTAAAAATTACTTAACTTGCTTTTTTTTAGTTGATAGTTCTTCTGCTTTTGGTAAACCTTGTTTCTTTTTTTCTCCTCAATCGTATTTTGGGTACTTTTAAAATCTAAAAAAGAGTTTCATTACAAGCTTTATTATAAAGGTTATTCTAAAACTTTGCAAGACCTATTCTTTTTCCAAGTCAAAATCATAACAGACGAAACTATTAGACATAATGATTAAAGAAAGCTTAAATATATTGCCTCGGATTTTCCTTCAGTCAAAATCCATTTCAGATTCAGTCTCTGGCCATCCCTAAAGTACTTAGATCTACAATTTATTTGCTGCCAAAAGGGTGGCGGCCCAACGTAAACTCTTTAAAGACTTTCATATTTCCCCCCTCCACTTTCAAATACGTTTCGCCGCCCCTGGAAACATTCGTATGGATGGATTTCAGGCCCTATTTTCTAGTCTATCAATATTGGTTATGTATATTTATAAGATTCCCCGAATGTCAGGCAAATGGCAAGCTATAGCAGGTTTATCATCGGCTAAAGAAACGTGATATGTAAAAACAGAAAAAAGCTGTGCTTTTTATGTTGAATGGTCTGGATGCCATTTGAAACATTTTTCCAGTACGTCAAGATGTTGAGTTTAACATTGATAGTTTCATTTTTTGCAGCCTATTCGTTTTGTGTAGGGGTGTGGTGGTGTTGCTGATTTTACACAGAAGTCTTGTGTAGATGCACAGAAATTATTTTTTAGAATTTTTTTGCTAGTTCGTGCATGAATTCAAAAGTGGTTCTACAGCTTCCACTCCTCGCTTTCTAAGGGCTATTCTCCGACCAATTGACTGTCATTCTTCTGTTAAGTGTCTTTGAACAATTTTTTGGCACAGAACTTGAAAATGGCTTAAATGGCGAAAATTAGCTGAGACAATTTGTTGAGCGAAGAACGTAAGAACATTTGTAGGGAGAGCAAGATAAGAGAATAAAGTGAGAGAAAAAGTAAAAAATACAAAATGACAAATTCAGCTGAGGGAACAAGTTGAGAGATTAAGCTGCTAGAATAGGCTGATAGATTTAGCTTAGAGAATAAAGTGAGAGAAAAAGTCGAAAAATAAGTTGAGAAAATTAGCAGATACGAGGGAATGTGCTGAGAGAATAGACCCATAGATTAGGCTTAGAGAAAAGTTGAGGGAATAAGCAAAGAGAAAAAGTGGGGATAATTAGTTTAGAAAATAACATGAGCGAATTAGACGAAAGATAAAGACTGAAAAAATAAACTCGAAGAATAAGCTGAGAGAATAAGCTGAGTGTTAACGCTAAGAGTTAAAGTTGAGAAAATTTGTTAAGAAAGAAGACAAGAAAGTAAGACGAAAAATCAAGCTTACAGAATAGACTGAGAAAATGGGCTGAGAGTCT